TTTTGTTTTGTTGATTTTATACTGAAAATAGAACCATTTGCTTGCTTTTGAGAAATACTTGTCATCACTAAAGGAGCTTTGAGAGCTGGGCAGAGTAGAAGAATTAGGGCAGCAAAGTTTGAAATGCCAACTGAAGCTCTTGGGGGACCAACAGTGGGAGAGTGAATTCATGAGCATTTCACATCCCTCGTATGAAACTCAAAAAAGTCTGTTTTTTTTTTTTTTTTTCTTGAGACGAAGTCTTGCTCTGTCACCCAGGCTGAAGTGCAGTGGCACGATCTCGGCTCACTGCAGCCTCTGCCTCCAAAGGTCTGGGCTTTTAAATATTAAGTTTACAACTAGGATTAAATGGGATCATAATTCGGTTTCTAAATGCCACTAACCTCCTCTTAAAGCTAAAGGTCAATTTAAAAATTATTATTCCAGGGTTGTGTTATTTTCTGATATTTATGCTTTGAACCATTCTTTTTTGGGCTTTGGATCACTTTAAAATCTGAATTCAAGTTGGGGGTCCTTGTTTTCCTTCTCCTCGTCTGCCTGAAGTTTCCGTTACCAAGCACTGGGCACTAAATCAGGCCTTACCTGAAGCAATGGGGTCGTTAATTGAACTAAATTTGGTTTGAGTGGAAATGAGACCTGAGGTTACTAGATCTTGTTTTGAGTGGCAGGTTTTCCATTTGTTTTGGAAGATGGTGTATTTCAGAGGTGAGCGGGAGGGAAAGCAGTGTTCCATAGCAGAGTAGCTACAGTGGAAAACCTGCTTCGCCCAGCCTTGGTGTGCATGGCCTTGGAAAAAATGATAGTCTCTACAAGTCACGAGAAGAGAAATGGCAGCACATTTCCAAGTTAGCTGGAGCTCTAGAAGAAATGAGGATGAGATATGCGGATGGATTAAAAAATGTAAAAAGTGAAAAACCAGAATGAGTGGGCTGGGAATTTTGTTAAACGGTCCAACTTGTACATTTTATTATAGCCTTTCTGTGGGCTTAAATGAAGGCCAAAACCTTCTTATTTGAATGTTGTATTGATTTGCATTTCTGGTAGCTATTTAAAAGTTGATGTCCTTAGAACTTAGTGCTGCAAAATCTTCAGTGGGCATATTCAAATGTCAAGATATAGGCATGTCCATCAACAACACAATTATTAAACAGATACACTATTCACCCCAAATTATGGAGGAATGCTGGGAGATTAAACAAAATCTGCAGTACCTGTTATAGAATAGCCTCAATAACGGCAATAATCACACCCTAAGTGACTTTTTGGAAACAGTAAAAAATCACATCTGTCCTCAAAGCCAAATCTGATGAAGAAGATGGGCCACATAAAGCTAATATTTATTGAATGCTTACTATGTGCCCGGCAAAACAGTTCTAAGCACTTTTCATATATTAAGTCACTCAGTCTATGTAACAGAGCTATAATTTCTAGTTTACTGATGAGGAAATTAAGGCAGAGAGAGGTTAAGAAATGTACCCAAGGTTATATAGCTAGTAAGCAACAAAGCAGTGACCCAAACCTAGGTAGTCTAACTGGACAGAAACTAAACGAAATATTCTTGAACAACCTGAAAATAATTTTAAAAGAATTTCAAGCAGTGATATTGTTATTGGAAAATGTTATTTTTCAACATAACTACTTTGAGGAGTTAAACATTGCTTTGGCGGTGTAAGTTGGTGTGTGTGTGTGTATGCGTGTGCACATGTGTACATATGTGGAGTATGTGGGTATTTATTTATGCACAATTACTTTATGGTCTCAGCTGTTAACTTTTAAGAAATTAAACGATAATTCACAAAATAGTTTTTTTCCTGTGTTATTAGTAGTTGGTGTATTAGAAGGAACCAGAATGGATTGTCTTCCAGCCCCATTATGCCTGATATGAAAACATAGGAATCTTATATATTTTCTGAATTTCCTGTCTCAAATTCTGTTTAGTTATTAGATGATAGGTGGGCTTGGAGTAAGTTATTTCACCTACTGCTCATTCTACTGAGGGAAATGGTTCTCTTTAACTGGAGAGGTCATCTATTAAGTCATTTAGGACTGAATTTTTTTTCTTTTTAATTATATTTTAAGTTCTAGGGTACATGTGCACAACGTGCAGGTTTGTACATGTGCCATGTTGGTGTGCTGCACCCATTAACTCATCATTTACATTAGGTATATCTCCTAATGCTATCCCTCCCCTCACCCCCTCCCCACAATGGGACCCAGTGTGTGATGCTCCCCTTCCTGTGTCCAAGTGATCTCATTGTTCAATTCCCACCTATGAGTGAGAACCTGCGGTATTTGGTTTTCTGTTCTTGCGATAGTTTGCTGAGAATGATGGTTTCCAGCTGCATCCATGACCCTACAAAGGACACGAACTCATCCTTTTACATGGCTGTATAGTATTCCATGGTGTATATGTGCCACATTTTCTTAATCCAGTCTGTCACTGATGGACATTGGATTGATTCCAAGTCTTTGCTATTGTGAATAGTGCCGCAATAAACATACGTATGCGTGTGTCTTTATAGCAGCATGACTTATAATCCTTTGGGTATATCCTCAGTAATGGGATGGCTGGGTCAAATGATATTTCTAGTTCTAGATCCTTGAGGAATGGCCACACTGTTTTCCACAATGGTTGAACTAGTTTACAGTCCCACCAACGGTGTAAAAGTGTTCCTATTTCTCCACATCCTCTCCAGCACCTGTTGTTCCCTGACTTTTTAATGATGGCCACTCTAACTGGTGTGAGATGGTATCTCGTTGTGGTTTTGATTTGCATTTCTCTGATGGCCAGTGATGACGAGCATTTTTTCATGTGTCTGTTGGCGGTATGCGTGTCTTCTTTTGAGAAATGTCTGTTCATATCCTTTGCCCACTTTTTTGATGGGGTTGTTTGTTTTTTTCTTGTAAATTTGTTTGAGTTCTTTGTAGGTTCTGGATATTAGCCCTTTGTCAGGTGAGTAGATTGCAAAAATTTTCTCCCATTCTGTAGGTTGCCTGTTCACTCTGATGGTAGGTTCTTTTGCTGTGCAGAAGCTCTTTAGTTTAATTAGATCCTGTTTGTCAATTTTGGCTTTTGTTGCCGTTGCTTTTGGTGTTTTAGACATGAAGTCCTTGCCTATGCCTATGTTAGGACTGAATTTTTAAACAAGTTAGCAAAAAGCTTAGAAGATGATAAGGTTCTAGCCAGAGAAAAAGAATGACACATATGCTTGGGTATGTGCACATGATGTTTCTGTGGGTAAGAAAAATATATATAAATACAAATACAGATAGAAATGTGAAAATTGAATTAGTGATAAAACTACTTGTCTTTAGTGTTAGTGAAGTATCCTGTGACTACATGATTAGAGAAACTCAAAACAGCTGAATTCCATCAAATGTGATTTGGTGTCCATATAAACATTTTAAACCCATGTTCAAAACTGAACTACTGATCTTACTCCCCAAATCTACTCTACATTCAGCTTTCCTGATCTCAACTGATGGTAACCCTGTCCTCTTTTCTGAGGCCCAAGCCATAGAGTCATTGTCACCACCTTTCCTTCTTTCACACCTCCCCACATTGAAATAGTCTGCTGGTTTTGTCTTCAACAGACACCCAGAATTTGGCCACTTCGTACCACCTCTGCAACTTCTGGGGCCGCTCTCTTCTGTCATCATCCTTCTCTGGGATGATTGCAGTCACCTCCTAACTGGTCTCTCTGTCCCTCCCACAGTCTGTTCCTGACACAGAAGCTAAAGGATTCTGTGAAAACATGAGTCTGACCAGGTCACTCCTCACCTAAAACTCTATAATGATCCATAATTGCACTCAAGGAAAAGCCAGAGTTTTTACAGTAGTGTTCAAGACCCCAAACCATATGACGACTTCATTATGTTTCAACTCATCTCCTTTTACTCTTCATCTTGCTTATTCTGCTCCTTCCGACTGACTGATTTCCTAGTCCTCCAACAGGTGAGCCCTGCCTTTGGGCTGTTTCCTCTGCCTGGATGGTCCTCCCTTAGATATTTACGTATTCACGGGCTCCCTCTTCACCTCCTTCCAGTCTTTCCTCAAACTGAACCTCATACTTAACATTTGCCCACTCCTGAGGCCTCCCCTTATCTTGCTTTATGTTTTCTTTTTTCATAGTGATATGACTTTTTTTGACACCTTATTTAATTCATTTCTTTATTATGCCATTGCTTCTTCTCTGTGTTCCTTTGTCCCTTCCTGCTGGAATGGAGGCGTTTGAGAACAGGACTCTTTTTTTGGTTACTGATGTACTGCAAACACCCAGAACATTGTCTGGAAGATGGGAAATGCTCGATAAATGCTTGATGAATCATTGAATTAAGATGTTTAGGCAATGTGAATAGATTTTAAATGTAATTGGAAAACAGGGACTATTACTCAGATACAATTGCAGATGTGTGCTATCAGCACAGCAAACATTGCAAGGTCATAAGAACCAGATATCTGTCTCCTTGTAAGACAGGTAGGACAAATAGAATAAAAAAATATGCAATGTGGTTTTTATTTCCCCTCAACTATTTAAAAGCTAGTGAAATAATTTGTGTCTTACAGCAATGAATGGAAATCCTTAAATAAATCCTATGAAGTAGGTTCTGAATTATCTGAGACCCCATATAGAGTATCCAGCATGTGTCATACACACAAAAGGGGCTTAGTCATCATCAATTTTTGGTGTTTTTCTACATTATACAAATGTACATGCACTTTACATAATGAAATTGGATTAATTATGAATATTATTTCTTTATTGAAACCTCATAAACCTCATAAATTAACTAAACAGTACTTCATGCTTTGTATTTCATCTGGCATTTAATTATACATCTGTTTCAAATGAAGAAAGTTCATGCTTTAAAAACTCTGGTGAATTGCTTTGGATTTTAAATCTTTGTGCAAGAGGACAGGATGTCATTGTTATCCAGTTTACTAATGTGATGTGATTGACATTGGTCCTCAAAATATCTGTGATTCACTTCTTTTTAAGGTGTGGATGAATTCTGTTCACTGAGATGACCGGTGGTGACCTCTGTGCAGAAGATGGGGACTCCTCTCCACAGGACCTGGCCTACTGGGTCACTCCACCCAGCAACGGGCATTAGGCTCTTAAGTCCTTTCCCAGCCAAAGCATTCAGAACTTCACCCAGGCACCAATCAATGAGGGCCAGCTAGTTTTTGTACATGCCGGTATGTTACAGAGAAAAACAATGTGAAACTAAAATGCACTTTAATCAGTGGTTAATGTGATGATCATATGACTGAAAACCACAGGCCATCTAGAAACTCTCCAGGCACTAGACTTTTTTAAAAAGTGACAAGTTTTAATAAGGCTAATAATAGCAAACATTAGCATTCCTATAACTCTCATTTGATTTACTCAAATTTTCATGTAAGGTCTGTGCTCAAATATAAGCTTCTCTGAGAGCCTTTTCCTGAACACCACTAAAATAGAATCCCTTCTCTGCCACGTTCCATCCCTTTCCCAGAATACCTGACCTTATAGTATAGATTGAATTGGATATTTGTTTGTTATCTGTCTTTCCCTATAGATTATAAGGGCAAAAACTTTGTTTTGTTCATTGTTGTATCCTTAGCACCTAGCAGTGCTTAATAAAACATGGTAGGCGCTTAATAAACATTTGTTGAAAGAATGAAATAATATTGAACACCTATTACGTATCCAGTTATAAGTTCCAGATGTTAGGAATACATTAGTAAACACCACAAAGAGAAATTTGTTCAATGAATGAATATATGAATGAATGAATGAATATAACTTTAATTCTAAGAGATCCTGACTTTGAAAGGCCTTTTCTTCTTCCTCCTGTTCATCAATAAATCAGTAGGCCAAATGACTGCTGTAAATCTGCTGAAGGTGACCCAGCCACTCTGCAAGGGTGGCTTGGCTTTGTTTTCAGGCTGCCCTTGTCAGAGGAGAAGCAGGCCATTCCCAGTCTGCAGCACGAATGGGAGGGAGCATGAGCTAGGAGGGTTGGACGAGAAAGTTAAAAAGCCCTGTTTTCAGTTATTTCAAATTATCTTCTTTGAAAATATAGCAAAGAAAATAAAGGTAAAATATCCTCTAAATCCAAATGGAGTAATTTCCTGACTACCTTCACAGTTAATGCAAAGGCTCCCCAAAGAATCGGAAAAGCCTTTGCTAAACCTGTAGCCTGGACTTGTGGAGGTTAGTTTCATTGCAGCAAGGTCCTAAATCTACCTACATATGTACCAAAGCTTAGTTTCTAGACTAAATGGTATTTTCCACATGCAAGTTTCTATTTTTCAAATGTGTGAAGATGTGCTGGTTAAATAAAATACAATTCCTCTGAAGAGGCACTGAATCGATAGGATGTTTCTGCCACTTATGTATTGTTAGTATTATATAAGTATTGTTAGGTGAGGGCCTAGAAAGTTTTTCATTTTTATGAAAGGATTATAATATTTTCAAAATGGAGACGACTGCTCTAGAGAATTGCACAAAAGAAGTTTTGGTTTTCTAAAACTGTGAAATCCACAGTAGAAAGGAATTATTGACTAACTACCACCTGTCAGGCACCACAAGAGGTGCAGTTCTGCAATCCATGTCTTTTCATCACATGAGGTCCTCTGGGCCATAGGGAGGAATGACTCCATTTTCGAGATAAAGAAACTGAGGTGGGTGGATCATGAGGTCAGAAGATCGAGACCATCCTGGCCAACATGGTAAAACCCCATATCTACTAAAATAAAATAAATAAATAAATAAATAAATAAATAAATAAATAAAAAATTAACCGTGCATGGTGGTGGTTGCCTGTAGTCCCAGCTACTTGGGAGGCTGAGGCAGGGGAATCGCTTGAACGCGGGAGGCAAAGGTTGCAGTGAGCCGAGATCATGCCACTGCACTCCAGCCTAGTGACAGAGCAAGACTCTGTGTCAAAAAAAAAAAAAAAAAAAAAAAAAGAAACAAGCTCAGAAAGATTAAGTTTGTCACAGCTTAAAGCTGGGCTTTCTCCACTAGCTGCCACCCACTGAAGGGTAGAGTAGGTAGAAGAACTGAAGTTACTATTTTCAATGAAGGATTAAAACAAAAATTAGCTTGCTGGATTGATTTGTACACTACCAGGTCAATATTTACTTTTGGTGAGTGGAGAAAATAATTTCTCCTAGAAAAGTAGGAAAGAGAGTTAAAGGCAAGCTAAACGTGAGAGCCAATCCATTACATTTTCTAAATGGATATGGAGGCAACTAATAACCCTCAAAGTGGCTGCAGCCCAGCTGCAGATGAGGCTGTTGCTGAAACCAGCTGGTTCTCCCCTGGTGCATCTGTCCGTCATCAGCCCCAAACAAAGACTTGGGCTTAAGTAGTCTCTCTTAGCATTTTATATTTGCAAAGTGTTCCACCAGTAATTGAATTCATTATTCCACAACCTAAGTAGGTTGATAAAACCAATATGTGGGAGGCTAAGTGATTTATATAAGGTCACCCTTCTGGAAGGTCTATCAGGAAAAATCTGAGATTGTACAGTGGAAAATGCACAGGTCAACCTTGCTTTTTGTGTTTCCCTCCTTATATTTATTTGGTCATAGTCTGTCAGAGCACACCCGATACAAAATTCTATATTCGCTTTGATATCATTCTTTTGATTCCATCTCTATTTTGTTTCTGGATTAATGAAGAGTTCAAAGTGCCTAATGGCAGAAAATGTTCTTTCCTTAATTGCATGTTTCATTAAAAACTTTTGAAGTGCTATTTCTAGAAAAACAAGCAAATGAAAAAGAACATTTGGTTGTAGACCCCTGTTATGAATCAGACAGACTCAGACTTCTCTCTCTCTCTTTTTTTAAATGGTGACTTTTGAGTATACTGGGAATTTTTTTTAAGTCTGTAACCTTGTGTGTGTGTGTGTGTGTGTGTGTGTAATCAGAACTCTCAGGGTTTGCTTAGATAACAAGGACTTGAGAGCGTGTTATGCCATTGACCTACCTTTTATTAAATCATGTTTCTAGGGAGTACTTGTACAGAATTGCAGAGTCTGACGGTGTCTCCTTTGTTCCCTGCCACGTGGTCCCTGAGGGTAACAAAGACACATTTCTACCCATTCCATGATGCAACGACCTGTGGGCCTCCAAATGTACTGCTGGGTGGACATTTTCAAGGGATGATGGGGATATGAACATTAGGCTGTCTGCATAGGAATCTTGCCCGGTGCTTTGTGAGTCCCAGCATTCCTGGGAACTGGATCGATAAGGGATCCATCTCAGTTTTAGCTTTGCACATAAGTTAATTTATAACTTTACTGATATCACTAATCCGTTGATAGGAGTGTGGGAGTAGAATTCTCTTCTTGTAGAAATTTCACAGGAGCAGGGCTGGGTCTTTCCCTTTTTTCTTTCCCTTCTTAGCAGAATATAGCCCGCTTGAGATAGTGAAATAATTAGAAGTGCAGGTAATTATTTTGTGTTTTTATAGTGTTTTATATTGTTTATCTATTGCACTGGGTTGCTATAAGGATTTAAATGAGAGTATATATAAAAGCAAATTTTGGTCCTCCCCATTTGGCAGATAAAAAACATGGAGTTAGCAAGATGGGGTGGTGTCTGTAGTCACAGGTACTTGGGAGGCTGAGGCAGGAGGATCACTTGAGCCCAGGAGTTTGAGGCTGCAGTGAGCCATGATGGTGTCACTGCATTCCAGCCTGGATGGCAGCGCAAGACCTTGTCTCTAAAAAAAAAATCAAATAAAAACCATGGAGGCTTGGGAAGACTCAAGGTCATGTAACTAATAGGGATCCTAAGGCTCATGACTAAGTGAAAATTCCGACTCTAAATCCTGTTCTTGCATGGGGCCACTCCTCTGCTGTATGTCTGGGCCAGTGTCCCAGGGCTGTCTCTGCTGGAGAATGTTGGTTTCCTAAGAATGGGGCCATCACGGTAGCTGTTTATTTTATCTCCTTCTCGATATTACTGAAGAATTTTGACATGCACAACCAGGAAAATATGTATAGCAATTTAATAAGCAGCAACGATTACGTAGAAATGTTGTGTTTTACTCTCCTTCATTAGGGAAATATTGCAAGCTGGCATTAGTCAACAATTTTTTTTTTTGACTCACATTTATCCCCTACTAGTCAAACTTCCTCTACCAGCTTGTCCGACTTTGGCTATTTCCCTTTTGCTTCCTTCTTGCACCCAGCCTTAAAAAGTGGGCCTAGCTTGAGACTCATAGAATTTGCATGGTAAGCCAAAATAATTATAGTACTTAGTATGGTGAATGTTTTAAGGTTAACCATGACTTCTCTGCCCTGACAAATTTGAAAATTATCTTTCAAGTTGGTTATTTTAAAGTAGAAAGGATTATAGTTCTAAATGAACTTTTTTTTAATGAACTAAGAAAAAAAATTAGCCAAAGTATATTTTCATTTTGTTATATTTTATACGTATATAAATTGAAACACATTCTATTTATTTCTGTAAACTTTACTCCCCAGAAAGGAGTTTTATAACCAGCTTTTCACCTTGAATGCTGCCATTGATTTCGTTTGTTTATCTTTGGTGGTGGTGTGTTGGAATATACTGTGGCTTTAGGACCTGGTTTTTCTGCTTATCCAAATTGCACTTGGCTTTTTTTCCAAAAAGTACTGGGGAGGGATTGACCTCGAGAGTTTTGTTTAGAATGGTCTAGAATATAGGCTTACATAGACCCAGAATTAAGCAGCCCTTCAGCCAAGGGTTTTCCTGGAAAAGTCTGTGACTTCAGTCTCTGGTCATGAGATAGAAGGAGCTACATCTCACCACCAGCTGTCTGTCCTCCATGGTAAGAACTAAAGGAGAAAAGAAAGGAGAGGGACTCACAGTGTGTTACTAAAGGGTTTAGAGCAGGGATTTGTAAACCTTTTAGTCAGTGGCTCTTGAAACACTGAATTGAATATTGTAAGATTTAGTGGGAGGTAACCAAGAACTATGAGAAAAGATTGTCAATCCTCAAGGAAGTAATTAAAGGCCTATTAATTGGTGAAATGAGAGCTCTACACTCAAGAGTACACTAACCATGTAAAACATATAGTAAGTGTCCAGTGAGTGGTACAGAATGGGTGAGCTGCAGGAATTTGGAGGAGGGAAATGTCCCATAGACTGCAAGGGTCAAAGGGAGCTTGTTGGCCAAGACAAGCCTCGAGCTGCCCCTTTAGAATGAGCAGCATTTT